TTGCAGGCGTACCTCCAGCACGCAACCACGAGCACGAGATCGTGGAGGAACCAGGTGCGAAACCCGTCTCACGTGCACCATACCGACTGAGTCCGACCGAGCTGGCAGACATGAAGAAACAGATAGAGTATCTACTGGACAGACAACTGATCCGCCCATCCACCTCTCCCTACGGTGCACCAGTCCTCTTCACTCCAAAACCAGACGGCAGTTTACGGATGTGCATTGACTACCGCGCACTGAACAAACAGACAGTTAAAAACAAATACCCCATACCACGCATAGACGACCTACTGGACCATGCTCCAGGACCTCATTACTGCTGCAGGTAGCTCCGTACTCAGCTTCTCCTCCTCTCGTGCTGCCATAACTAGTGCTAAGTAACCTGTGTTGCTCTCGTTCACTGTCCGTTCGAACCGTGCCAGTGTCGTTTCAGGAACGCTCCCTGTATCCGTCTAGCTTCGCAGCTCTACTCGTTTCGTCTTGTTGTAGATGCACGCCTTCCTGTTTACCCAGTCGATATCGGGGTTGAACCGCTTCAAGAAATCTCGGCCCAAGATGAAATCTAAACCTTTGATGTTTGTAATCGGCAACGTCGGCTTCCACCTCAGTGCCTCTATATGCAGCTGTAGTGATGCTTCACCGTGGATGAAAAGTTTCGTACCGTCCACCATTGTTGCTGAGAACTTGGTCTCCTCTGAAGGTTCTCCAATTTTCTTTAATGTCCCGCGGTCGCACACCGAGTGGGACGCACCACTGTCCACCAGTGCCTGGAGGCGTCGCCCGTTGCAGATCACCTCGAGTAGTAGTGGTTGATGCTGCTCCGAGTAACCGTAGATGGTCTCGCTTATAGGATCGTAGGGTACGTTGAATAGATAATCCCTCGTTCCTGCGCTCGAAGCTGCTGACTCCATATCAGTTTTCAACTGAGCTGGGTGAGAAGGATTTATCCGAGGCCGATTCAGCTTCGTCTTGGCCTTGAACATTCTCTTAAGCCTTTGCAGTAGTGTAGGCTTCACCTGTGGGCAATTGGGAGCTTTAACACTGTGTTGCGGGGAGAGAATATTAACTCCTTGGAACGCACGACCCTTTTCAATGCTCCAGAGTGGTTTGCCCAACTTCTCATGTACCTGAAAAATGTCTTGTCAAACTCATATGCTATAGTCTGTGTAGGCTGTAGTGGGGTAGACAATTTGGGGTACAACACTTTTAGGTTTTCCTACTTGTACCCACCTGTTTCATAGTTCATTCATTCCTCGTTCTTTCACATGGTATAGAGCAGGTTCCCTAGTGGGAACGTTTCCTAGGGCCCACCGAATATCGATTTTTGTTTTCCTGCCCGGAGCGCGCTTCGCCCCTGCCCGAGTCGCGCCCCGTGTGCCTACCCTCCCGTCGTGTCCCCTGCCCTTAGTGGCCCGTCGCGCTCCCTTACGGCCCCATAGGGGCCCCTCTCACGGCCTCTCACGGCCCCTCTCACAGCCCTTCGCAACCCTTTCAGGCCCCTCGTGGCCCCTTCGCGGCCTCCCTTCGCGGCCCCTTCACGGCCCCTTCGCGGCCCTTTCACGGCCCCTTCGCGGCCCCTTCACGGCCCCTTCTCGGCACCTTCGCGGCCCCCTCGCGGCCCCTTCGCGGCCCCTTCGCGGCCCCTTCACGGCCTCTTCGCGGCCCCTTCGCAGCCCCTTCACGGCCCCTCGCGGCCACCTCGCGGCTCCTTTCGCGGCCCTTTCGCGGCCCCACCCCGCTGCCCGTAGCGGCCCGGCCCTGTCGCCAGTCGCGGCCCCGCCCCGTCGCCAGTCGCGGCCTCGCCCCGTCGCCAGTCGCGGCCCCGCCCTGTCGCCAGTCGCGGCCCCGCCGCGTCGCCCCTGCCTCGTCGCGACGCCCCTGCGGGACCCGCGAGGCGCGGCTCCTGTGCGTCGCGACGCCCCTGCGGGACCCGCGTGGCGTCACCCCTGCCCGCTGCGGCGCCCTGCGCTAACCCGCGCCCTGGAGCAGCCGCCCCTTGAGCAGCCGCCACTGCAGCAGCCGCCCCTGGAGCAGCCTCCCCTGCAGCAGCCGCACCTGAAGTAGCCGCCCCTGGAGCAGCCGCCCCTGAAGCAGCCGCCCCTGGAGCACCCGCCCCTGGAGCAGCCTCCCCTGCAGCAGCCGCCCCTGGAGCAGCCGCCCCTGAAGCAGCCGCCCCAGGAGCAGCCGCCACTACAGCAGCCGCCCCTGGAGCAGCCACCCCTGCAGTAGCCGCCCCTGGAGCAGCCGCCCCTCGAGCAGCCGCCCCTGCAGCAGCCGCCCCTAGAGCAGCCACCCCTGCAGCAGCCTGCGGAGATAACTGCAGCAACGGGAGCTAGGCTACGGGCTAGGCACGTGTGCTCGTGTGATCTCTGCGTTCGTTAGTCCTTAGTCGTTTTCCTTGTGCACACACTACTTGCTAGTTCACGGGGAAAATTGGCAAGAGTTTCACTAGGAAAAGTTCAGAACAACTGGTACAATGAAGTTGGCAATGCAAGACTACATCATAGCAAGCATTCATGTCGGCCAACTGCCAGCGCAGCTTGGTCGACCGCGTTCCAGCACGACTTCGTCGACCGCGCTCCAGCAAGGCAAGGTCGACGGCGTGCCAACGTCGCAGGTTGACGGCGTGACAGCGTTGCTCACGCAGGACAGCAGTGCACCCTGCTTCGCAGTTGTGCGCAGATGATTGGCGCGCAGAGTCTTGTCACCTGCACAGCGCACACACCACGTCAACCTCGAGCTGACGACTGCCTCTGATCCGCCACGACGACCTCGGGATACCACCACCGAGGTCGGGCTCGCCAACTTTGCCTGGGCGACCGTCGCACTCCTCCGCAGCACTTCGTCACCCAGGTAACCTGGTCGACCAGGCAACCACGTCGACCAGCAGCTCCCGTACGTGCCCGTCGACCTCCCAAGTCGACGACCACCTCCACGTTGACCTCACCAGGTCGACGACACCATCGGTCGACCTCCTCCAGGTCGACATCCCCTCTGGTCGACCAGCTCCACGTCGACCAGCACAGTCGTCGGCCGAACACCCACGTCGGCCGAAGCGCGTCACGAAGTTGACGCTCCGCTACTCGACGCCTTGCGTAAAGGTCGACGTCGGTCCCTCCTTCGTCAACCACCAGGTCCAGTCGACCACCCGCAGGTCGACCAGCGGTCCGTTAGCCGACTGCCGAAGTCGGCTTCCCCAAGTTGACGTCACCAAGTTGATGTCCTCTGCAGGTCGACACCCAAGTCGACCTCCCTGAAGTCGGCGCCACTCTGAAGTCGGCGCCCGTGTAGTGGTCCCCCGTGCAGGTCGACCTCCTCGTCGACCAGCTCACCCACTGCTGAAGGCCGACTGCTCCCCTCACATCCGACCACGAAGTCGGCTCCGCCCAAGCGAGGACGGGGCCAATACCCAACTCCCGTTGACACAGCCGCCCCTGGAGCAGCCGCCCCTGCAGCAGCCGCCCCTGGAGCAGCCGCCACTGCAGCAGCCGCCCCTGGAGCAGCCGCCCCTGCCGCAGCCGCCCCTGGAGCAGCCGCCCCTGGAGCAGCCGCCCCTGGAGCAGCCGCCCCTGCAGCAGCCGCCCCTGGAGCAGCCGCCCCTAGAGCAGCCGCCTCTGCAGCAGCCGCCCCTGGAGAAGCCGCCCCTACAGCAGCCGCCCCTGGAGCAGCCGCCCCTAGAGCTGCCGCGGAGCCCTCGCCTTACAGTGGTAGCGGCCTCACCGTTGCCGCCGTCTTACGCCTGCCCTTCTCGCCACTTGTGAGCACTGTGTTGGGTGCACATCATTCTGAGTGCATGTCATCCTAACGTCCTGCCGAGTGCTCGTGCTATTTGTGCTTGCATGATTTGCATGAGCGTATGTCATTGTGCATGGCTGTTGGATATTATCATCTCTGTGTTTTTCTCCAAGTCTTAATGCTTGATCATGCAGGAGAAATCCAGAGCTTTCCAACGACACCAAGATCGCCTTATTCCGACCAAGATCGCCCAAGTTACAAGATTTCCAAGATTTGGATTTCTTATTACCTTTTGGGGTTATATCTAATTTGGGTGATTACTTGGGACATGACTATAAAGGGATCTTTGGTTGGGTGGTTAGGAAGGCAACTTTGACTTTTGGATTGGGGTGGCTAGAAGTTTCTACCATGGGTTGCAAATGTTGCAACACCTAGGCAAAATCCAACTAGATTGGATTTCGCATGTGACACCTCAAGGACCTCATGATGAGGGTTGCATCCTTGCTGCTGGGAAGGTTCCTACCATCCTTCCTTAGCTCTTGGAGAACCCCTTCCCTTTCATGGTTCTCTTGGAGTCCCCAACTCCAACTTTCTATGCCTGCATGTTTGTACTTCCTCCACCATTCTAGTCATTCGGCTGCTGGACGTTTTCATATGGTTCTCACTCTATAGACCATCTTAACGACTGAATGAACTTGGAGGAGGTAGATACGCCTAAGGAGCAACTTCCTACCAAGCGGATTTGTGTTTAGTTGGGTAATGATTTCGTCGTGAGCTCTCAAAGTGACGGATCCTGAACAACAAGTGGTATCAGAGCGGGTAGTCAGCTTTGAGACGACGAATCGTCGTAAATTCTCAACCAATGTTGTCGAGTGAGACCATTTTCTAGTAGCTCTGCTTGCGAAATTTCGATTGGTGGTCACACCGCGTTCTAATTCGAAGTATCTAGTCCGCGACAGCGAGTTTCGTAGAATCGAAATTTCTGACAGAATTCTCTCCAAACGATTTCTCAAGTTTCCACCGTTCATAAGGCCTCAATATGGTTGGTACGATCTCCGGAGGTGCTAGTGGCGAGATGGATAGAAGTAGAGAGGCTGGAGAGCAGGGGGGAGTTGCTGGTGGAGGAGTGGGAACTCACCAACCAGCCAACTCTACGCTACCTACTTCTTCTACACCATCTCCTACTACCGTGGATCCTGTGAAAGCTTTCTCTATTGTTCATGGGGGAGGATTACGAGCACTGGAGTTTCCGCATGAGGCTTATGTATACCCAATACAAGCTATTGGATTTGGTGGAGGGGAAGGAGAAGATGCCGGAGGCCGCGGAGCTGAAAGGAGCGTGGATGAAGCGATCGTTCGACGCGTACATGCTCATGGTGCAAGCGGTTGGCGGGCGACAACTTGACCACATCAAGGACCTCTTGGGTGATCCAGAGTGTAGCCCCAAGGCTTGGAGGAAGCTTCTGGATGTGCACTCACCGACACATGCTACCGGCATCGTGCTACTCGCGCGGCGGCTGCGCGACATCAAGTTCGTTGATGGAGAGCCGATGCAACCGGTGTTGGATGAGATGCGCGACATCTTCACGAAGCTCCAAGGAGGCGGTGTGGTGTACCCGGAGCTCGTGCAATGCGTGGAGATCGTGATACGGCTGCTGCAGTCGTGGTCTGCCCTTGCAATCAACCTCAACTCTCAACAGCCCCAGTGGAGCGTGGATTACATTCGCGCGCGCATCCTAGAGGAGGACTTGCGGCGGCGGAGTGTGGAGCGCTCGGAGGAGGGGGCTAGCTATGGAGTTGGAGGTGGAAAGAGTGGCTTCAAGAAGAAGTGGAAGGGCAAAAACAAGGACAACCCTAAGGAGGATGGTGGCGGGGGTCAAGGGGAGGTGTGCTTCTACTGCAAGAAGTGCGGACATCGTTGGCGGAAATGCTACCAACGACCCAAGGATTGGACCCCGCCTTCATCATGCAACCAGCATGGTGGCACGAGGAGTGGAGGAGTCATGGGAGCTAGTGGAGAGGAGAAGGATGAGGAGAAAGGCGGCAAATCTGAGGAGCGGAAGGCCGGGTTCTTCTTCTTCGTGAACGAAGGCGCAACCGACCTCGCTATGGCTGCCAAGGCTCTCCTACACCCCCTCACCCATTGAGTGATTGACTCCAGGAGCTCTTGGCACATGACTCCTCGTGCGGACCTACTCGATGAGATTCAGCCCGCACCCATCTCTACAGTCACATCCGCGACGGGCGCCAAGGCCAAGGTCATGGGCATGGGATGCGCCAAGTTCATGGGAGCGGATGGAGAGCTCGTGGGGCTGAAGAACGTGCTGTGGGTGCCGGACTTGTGCGCGAACCTGATTTCTACCGGCCGGTTGGGAGATGCGGGTGTGAACACCGAGACGATTGGCTCGGAGCGCTATCGTGCCTACAACGATGAGCGCCTCATTTGGGACCTGCAGTGGAAGGGAGATGTCCACAAGCGGATGTGGCAGATCCCGGTCCTCCCTTGGCGGAAATCGGGCAAGACGGCAGCGGCGGCATCTATGGAGGAGAGCGTCACCGAGGAGGAGCAACAAGGTGTGCAAGGAGAGGAGCTGATTGGAGGAAGCGCGGCGGTGAAGGCGTCGGCTACCTCGGGCCAAGCGGATTGGGAGACTTGGCATCGGCGGCTCGCACACGTGGCTGTTTCTACATAGGAGGTGATGCACAAGGAGAAGTGCGTACATGGGCTGCAACTGCAAGGAGATGGCGCACACTATGGCAGCTGCGAGGCGTGCATGCAAAACAAGTTTGTGCGGTTCCCGTTTCCACGTGCAGAGGGATCAGCCAAGGCACCATTGGAGGTGGTGCACATGGATCTGGTGGGTCCTATGAGGACTGAGGGGACTGGGGGAGTGCTGTACTTCCTCACCATGGTGGACGAATGGAGCTGTTTCACGTGGGCACGTCCCTTGTCCAAGAAGAGTGATGCTGCAGCGGCGATCAAGGAGGATTGGTTGCCGATGGTGGGGCGGCAAGCGATGCGGTTGGTGAAGGTGCTGAGGAGCGACCGAGATGGAGAGTTCCTTGGAGCGGAATTCACCAATTTCCTCAAGAGAAATGGCATCCGACATTAGCTGACCTGCCCTGGAACACCGCAGCAGAACGGCATTGCTGAGCGTGCCAACTGGACTATTCGCGAGGCGGCTAAGACCTTTTTGGGGGCTGCTGGGATGCCCTACAAGTTCTGGCCTGATGCCGTTCGCCATGTCATCACGGTCAAGAACAGGGTCTTGACGCATGTTGGCGACAAGCATTGGGTGCCGTATGAGCGTTGGCTTGGGAAGAAGCCATCCATTGACATGTTGTGGGTATGGGGCTGCATGGGGCTTGTGGTGGTGCCTAAGGAGCAGAGGCACAAGCTGGAAGTTGCTGCTGTGTGGGCTGTTCATCTTGGGATGGCTCCTGACTCGAAGGGGTGGCTGATGTGGGACCCCAAGAGCAAGAGGACGCTGGTCAGCCGTGACGTAAAGTTTGTGGAGGACGTCATGTACAAGGACTGGCAGCAGCAGCAGCAGGTGCAGATTGGCTTGCGTCTGCAGGAAATTGAGCGGTCTGCAGTGGAGGAGGTTCAGCTGCACCTTGATGAACTCCACGGGTCAGAGCTGACCAGTGACCATAGTGGCGGTGGTGAGCAGCAAGTTTCTGGTCCTGCTGGAGAGGAGGGGTTGGAGGATGAGTCGGCACGTGTGGACTCACCATCTCAGCCCAAGCTTGCTGCAAACGCCAAGGTCACCAAGAGGAGTGTGCAGAGAGGAGCTTCACCACATGGGCAGCAGATTGCAACCCGCGAGAAAAGAGTGGTAGCAGCACCCTCAAGGCTGAAGTATAGCCGTTTGGGAGGACCCAAGCAAGGTGCCTGGGAAGGGATCTTTGGTTGGGTGGTTAGGAAGGCAACTTTGACTTTTGGATTGGGGTGGCTAGAAGTTTCTAGCATGGGTTGCAAATGTTGCAACACCTAGGCAAAATCCAAATAGATTGGATTTTGCATGTGACACCTCAAGGACCTCATGATGAGGGTTGCAACCTTGCTGCTAGGAAGGTTCCTATCATCCTTCCCTAGCTCTTGGAGAACCCCTTCCCTCTCATGGTTCTCTTGGAGTCCCCAACTCCAACTTTCTATGCCTACATGCTTGTACTTCCTCCACCATTCTAATCATGCGGCTGCTGGACGTTTTCATATGGTTCTCACTCTATAGACCATCTTAACGACTGATTCAACTTGGAGATGGTAGATACGCCTAAGGCGCAACTTCCTACCGAGCGGATTTGTGTTTAGTTTGGTAATGATTTCGTCGTGAGCGCTCAAAATGACGGATCCTGAACAACACACTGCCCTGCCCGTACTGCTGTTACTGCTGCTCTTGATGCTACTGCTCTTTCTACTGCTACTGCTGCTCCTGGCGTGGCCAGATGCAGCTCCAGCGACGTCCGCGTAAGTCCCTCACGCCCCAGCAGCTTCGTGAGTGGTACGCTACTTGGGGTTGTCGGGGTGGCCGTAGTGGGAGTCGTCCTGGAGTGAGTAGTTCGGCGGCTGCTTGTAGTGGCCAGGTGCAGCTGCAGCGTCGTTCGTGCGCGGTCCTTTCGCCCTAGCAGCTTCGTGAGTGGTACGCTTAGCGTGGTGGGTCACGGGGTACTGCTCGCTGTCTATACGTCATTCGCACTGGTGCTCGGACAGGTCAGCCTTGCGGGACATTTGGTCACGCAGAGTACTGGCGCTGTAGTCAGTGCTGTCTGTAGCTGCTCCATGGCTTCCTGATGAGGCGTATCCCATTTGTAGGGCGTATCCTTTTTCAGTAAGTCGGTCAGTGGTGCTGCTATCTTAGCGTACTGTGGCACGAACCTGTTGTAGTAGTTGGCAAAGCCTAGGAATTGCTGTAACTCCTTCACGTTCTCCGGAGCTTTCCACTTCTTGACGGCTTCGATTTTCCGCGGGTCCACGTGTACGCCCTCGGCACTCACCATGTGCCCGAGAAACTGCACCTTCTTCAGAGCGAAGTCGCTCTTCGACAGCTTCACGTAGAGCTTGTTTTTCCGCAGGGTCTCGAACACCTTTCGTAGATGCTCCACGTGCTCCTTCATGTTCTTGGAGTAGATAAGAATGTCGTCCAGGTACACCACCACGCACTCGTCCAGCAGGGGTCGTAAGATATGATTCATCTACGCCTGAAACGTTGCTGGTGCGTTGTAGAGTCCGAACGGCATCACCAAGTATTCGTAGGAGCCGTATCTGGTACGGAACGCCGTCTTGTGGATCGAATTGTCCGCCATCTTGATCTGCCAGTAACCCGACCGTAGGTCCAGCTTCGAGAAGACTGTTGCTCCACGCAGTTGATCGAGTAGGTCATCTATGCGCGGTATGGGATATTTGTTTTTGACTGTCTTTTTGTTCAATGCGCGGTAGTCGATGCACATCCGTAGACTGCCGTCTGGTTTTGGAGTGAAGAGAATTGGTGCACCGTAGGGAGAGGTGGATGGGCGGATCAGTTATCTGTCCAGTAGATACTCTATCTGTTTTTTCATGGCTCTCAGTTCAGTCGGACTCAGTCGGTATGGTGCACGTGAGACGGGTTTCGCACTTGGTTCCTCCACGATCTCGTGCTCGTGGGTGCGTGCTGGATGTACAGCTGCAGGTAGGTCGTCAGATATTATATCCTCGTAGTGCTCCAAGACCTCCTTTACAACTGCAGGTAGCTCGGAACTCGGCTTCTCCTCCTCTGCTGCTGCCATAACCAATGCTAGGTAACCCGTGTTACTCTCGTTCACCATCTGTTCGAACCGTGCCAGTGTCGTTTCAGGTACATCCCCTGTATCCGTGCTATCCGCTTCCCGTTGTTCTAGATGCACACCTTGCTGTTGACCCAATCGATCTCGGGGTTGAACCGCTTCAGGAAATCTCGCCCCAAGATAAAATCTAATCCTTTGATGTTGGTGACTGGTAGCTTCGGCCTCCACCTCAACGCACCTATATGCAGCTGCAGTGATGCTTCGCCGTGGATAGGAAGCTTCGTACCGTCCACCATGGTTGCTGAAAACTGGGTCTCTTCCGCCTTCTCTCCAATTTTCTCCAATGCTCCGCGGTCACACACCGAGTGAGATGCACCGCTGTCCACCAATGCCTGGAGGCGTCGCCCATTGCATAACACCTCGAGGAATAGTGGTTTCTGCTGTGCTGAGTAGCCAAAGAGGGTCTTGTTAATAGGATCATAGGGTACATCAAACTTAAGACCTTCCCTTTTTCCTATACCTGACTCAGCACTTTCCAACTTCACCTGGGCTGTAGGAGGATTTTTCCGAGGCTTGTATGATTTCTCCTGAGCCTGGATGTTTCCTCTAAGCCTTGACAGCTGTATAGGCTTCACCTGTGGGCAAAGTGGAGCCTTAACACTGTGCTGCGGGGAGAGAATATTAACTCCACGGAACGCACGACCCTTTTCTACGCCCCGTAGTACTTTGCCCAACTTCTCAGGTACCTGAATCATTTCTAAAGGCTTTTTCTTGGCCTCTAAACCTCCCCTGAATTTTTCAAAGGCTTGAAAACCACGAGAAGCAATATTTTTCGTTAGAGTATCTTTATAGGATACTTTTAACGAATTCTTACTTTTGTGGGTGTTCGGCTGGAGTTTCTCGGTCGGTGCAGAGTCTTTTTTCGCAGAGCCTCCATTCGCCTCGGCAATTTCCCCTGATGCCGGCCGGTTGTGACGTTTTAGATTCGCGCCATCATTTTTTCCTTTTTTCACCCGTTCCGAAGTCGCCATGTCGCCGCCTTTTCCTGCTTTTCGGATCTTTACGCGATCGCCAGGTCGATCCGCGGCTACTGGCGACTTCGGGGGTGCTCCACTGTTACCGTCCCAGAGTGCCGCACGTGCTTTCTTCATTTTGTAGCACGACAAGATTTGATGACCTGCTGTGCCGCAAAATTCACATTTCGCCGACTGCTGCTTCGCGTCAAACTTGTCGATATCTATCGGTTCGGTGAACGTGGGGGGTGCCGATCGCTCCGTGCCGAATGTACGGTTCGGCGTGAAACATCGTGTTTCGGGATGACCTCGAGTCAGCGCATCATATCGCTCGGCAGCACGCACGATGTCTCTGTAGCTGTCGTAATTCG